TAAATGCTCCTCCAATGAACAAAAACGGTGAAATTACGCTCTACCAAATTGGTCGGTACATCAGCTCCAATGAAACTGCTTGGCGTATCTTCGGTTTTCTCATTCATGAACGGGATCCAGCTGCTGTTCAGTTAGCCGTCCATCTTGAAAACGGTCAGCGTGTATTTTTCACGAACCAGACAGTGATTGATCGTGGTACAAATCCACCTAAATCTACACTCACTGCATTTTTTGAATTGTGTAATAGTACGGATGATTTTGGTGCCTTTACAAGAACATTACTCTATTCACAAGTACCACGCTATTTCACATGGGCTCAAACAAAAAAATGGATGCCCCGCAAGCAAGTTTCACCAGTTGTAGCATGTCTCAATTTATTTAAATCGAACGCTTATTTACAGTTAATCCAAGACACACTGAGTGCTTTTATCTTCGACTGTTGTTGGTTAATGTTACTGGCCCATTATCATTATTATTATTTACAGTCAATCCAAGACAATTTAAATTTGAAGATACAACAGTTGTTGCCAGGGAACTTGGTATCATACAAAACTATTGATTTTAAATGAATAATTTAATAAATAAACTATAATAACTTAAAAATAATATTGTTTGGCGTTTGTTATTTTTATTTTCCTTTTCGTTCATAGCGCTCCATGCCTATTTCATGCATATACCACATACTTACACACTTATAATAAGTAAGTCACTTTTTGTCTACACTAGAATTTATCTAGAAACTAGAAATAATTTATAAAGCAAAACAACGTTTGTCGGATTATCTAGTATATATATAGTATTAACTGTTAGCATATCTTATTTTCATTTTTGACAAATTACTTTATGTTGACCCATGCCTTCTTCCAACCATTGGCACCATGATCATACACAAATTTTTCATGAGCAAAATCTATACGCTGCTATTTTAGAAAATAATGAAATTACTTGACTATTTTCAAGCGTCTGAGTGAACTAACTTCAGCAATTCGTTGGACTTCGTCTCAGATTCACGGAATGGTGTTTGAGCTTGCTTGCTTAGAATGCAAACTTCACATGTTGGAAAATTTGATTGAATGCTTGCATCGATGCCTTTTACTTTTTCATGTTTTATTTTGTTTTTCAGGTCAATCTTATTTAGATGCCCAAACTTTTGGTGCCACTCTAGTAGGCTGCTGGTGCTTTCGGCTATCTTCATATGTTCTGTTGGCTCATTCACATAGTATAAGTTTCATTTTCTAGATGCTGTGAGCATTTTCTTGCCCGTTTTCGGATTGATCACAACTGCTCCATTTCGACGAAATGACACTTCATAACCATGATCAGTAATCTTTGACACTGACATTAGATTTGATCGCAGTTCGGGAACGTATAATGTTTCGCCTAGGTTTGCAGTTACGATACTTGTTTGTAAAATAACGTTTCCGGTTCCAGTCATTTTCGTTGATTTATCGCTAGCAAGTTTCAGAATTTGTTCTACGGTGTTCAGTTCTCTAAATTTTTCTTTTTGAGAGCACATATGCGACGTAGCTCCTGAATCAAGACACCATTTGCCTTTTTCACTGCGTACTGTCATTGCTATATCTGATTTCTTATGCTCCACATATTTCGCTTTGTTTTCAAAATTGTTTGTTGTGGCTCTGTTTTTGATTTTATATCTGCATTCCTTGATTTTGTGTCCAATTTTGCCACAATTATGGCAAGCGTATTTAAATTTTTCATTTTTATTATGAAACTTGGGCTGTTGTCAATTTTTATTGCTTTTCTTCGCAAATAATTCTTCTTCACTGCTGTTGCGTTTTCTTGCTTCAAATTCATCGATCATTTTGATTTTCAGTGTTTTTGGATCAGGTAATTTGTCCTGTGTTTCTATTGCTATTCTAAACTGTTCGTAATCATCAGGCACGCTGTACAATAACAGAATAGTTACTAAATCGTCGTCGATCTTCATATCCATTTCGTGAATTTTGTCTAAAATGTCAAAAAATTTCTTAACATGGTCGTATATGTCTTCATCGTTGTGCATTTTCGGCAAAATTAATGACTTTAGCAACGTTGCTTTTCTTTCAGGCCCTTTAGATTGAAAAACATTTTCTAACTTGCTCCAAAGTTGTTTTGATGTTTCACAATTCTTTATTAGTTTTAATTCAGAAGTTGAAATAAGTAAAATCAAATCGGCTTTTGCTTTTGAGTCATTTAGTTTCCATTCGGCAATAGCTGCATTGCCGGTGGCGCGTTTTTCGCATTGTCCACTGATTGCTTCCACGTGTAGTTTCTAATTAATAAAGCTTGAACTTGTATCTTCCAAGTGTCATAATTATCACGGCCAAGAGGAGCAATTTTTATGTTTGCGAAACTAATTTTTATTTTTTCATAGTTTTTATTTCACAACTGTTTCACAAAATTTGCGACGCTCAATAACTTTGCACACATACCAAACCGCAATTCTAACGCTTTCTGTTGAAATGTGTTTTTTATTTCTTCTTTTAACTTGATTTTGTCACAAATTTTTGTTTTCAATTGGAAGCGTGCTGGGACCATAACCTGTTGGAATTTATTAAATATATTGTTATATATAGTATCTGCGGCTTCTTACTGTTCTAGTTTATACTAGAACATGCAATTTTCAACATTTGTATTCTGTTTTAATTGTTTTTACTCCAAACATATAAAAATAAAGTTGCAAAAAATGCAATTCTATTACGGAACACAAAAAATAAAGCAACAAAAGTATTCGACATTCGAGAAAAGAGGTCACACCACAAACTATTTGAAATTCGCTCAAAATTTATGGTTATAGAAGAAAAACTGCACGTAAGAAATCATTTG